AAGAGGGAGCTCTGAAGAAGTTAAAGGAACTTCCATGTTCGAGCGACGCCGTTCGACGCCGCCGGTGCGCTCATGCGGGCCTGAGTGCGGTAAGTCTGCGCAGGTGTTTCCTTTGGGATCGATCCGGATAAGTCAAAACGTACAGCAAACATAAGAAGTTTGGCAGACTGTGAGAAACTTAGCTTTCCGACTGCCCGGCCGCGCGCTGGCGCGGCGCAGGTTTCTGCTCCACCGTTGATCGCGCGCGCGCTTTCGCCCGACCGCTCGCGCGTAGACGTAATGCTGCAACGCACTTGCCCGCACTGAAAGTCGGAACAATTTTGCGGATTTTCATATCACTTGGGGGCAGCTTGGAATTAAAGGGGTTACAACAGCTACCGGTACCGCTCTACGAAAGGCCTACATACCATGCACGAGGTCGGGCACCACCTAATTGTCAGCCAGTCACCTGATCAATAACTTCTCACACCACGGATTACCATCGATAAGAGGCAAGCTAAGCTCCCGCCGCCTGTCCGGGGCGGGCCGGTAACATTCTCATATTTTCATATTGCAGGTCTCGAAAGGACAATCAGCTTTCAAACAGCTCGTGTAAGATTTATGCCCACATCTGTTCAGAAGCAGCCCTCGATAGGATTTGTGCTCTCCTAATACGAGCTTTGTACAGAGGACAATATAAGCCCGCATCTCAACCTGAAAGCTCAAAAGGCAGACGCATTTGAAACCAGTTCTAGTTGAGGATACAGGCCAGCTAGCTTTCAGCTTTCAAACGACACTCAGAAGGTTTTGGCGCCCGGGGGTGCAAGAACGACAAATGGCCCTCCGACCATCCAGGACCAACAAGTCTCCAGAATTGCCAGATCCGGATCTGACATGAACCGCGTGCAAATACATACTATATGTTGCATGAGCCAGTGCACTGATCAGGTGATCAGGTGCGCCGGTCATCTTGCAAGACGGGGCCAGTACGCGCATTACAAAAGGATTGCTTCGACTCTGACGTTTGAGCAAGCAAGGAACCTACTTGTGCCTGACATCAACTTACGTCTGAGGAGGTATGGAAGAGCACTGACTCTGACACTTTAAATTGAATTATTGCCATGGAACTATGTGTGGCGTCAGCATTACGTGATCGGGTCTGATAGCATCAAAAGTGCGCCTCAGTTCAGAGGTCAATCCTTGCCACAGTTGCACGAGAACCTGAACTTACTGTGACGGACAGGTTTTGCTTACGCGCAACGGACTTGATATCGTAGACCGCTTTTAACACCGCAACTCCTGTCAGAATTTGCAATCACGTCATGATGTTTCTGGTGTTTCTCTTTGTACATGGTGCTCCAATTGGGCTCGTCCATAAAGGATCTGACGTAAGATCACACAGTGCATCGTACCAGCAGAATGAAATGATTCCAGAATTAGTAATACTAACTATTTTTGAGAGTACGAATTTAGATATCCATACGTGGCGTCAGGCCCATGGAGTATCCTCCACTTAAGAGTCCGAGAGCTGTCGTTAGGGGCAGCTTCCCGCTTCCAGAACAAGGGCCGCCTCGTCATAGCTGTCTGGAGCACCACGTGTGGCTCCGTTAGCAAGCAGACAACTAATCAAGAGACGGCCTCACGAACGATGTTTGATCCAGCCAAATTGGCCACGGATCCTCCACGGATAATATCTCCGTTCTAGGTTATGCAACAATGCATTGATTGAGAGCCGTATAATCGTTCAGAAACAGAACGGTCTTGTGGTACTGAATCGGCTGGTAAAGCATTTAGTTCATACGAGGGCACTCCAACAGAAGTACTTGACAGGTGGCCAGCCCGCTCGTGAAAGCAAGTGACCAGCTCCTGAAACCAGTGCACTGTGCAGCCACTGAGAGGCCAACTAGCTCCGTACCCGATCCAAACCCGCGGAAGACTCCAGTCCTTCCGCGTCAAGGATTCCTCGCAGGTTACATGCACAGGAAGCTTACTATACGCTTGGTTGACAGGGCTCCAGCTCGTACGGTATGTAAAGAGCGCTCGAGTGAGTAGCAGCTCGCTTTTCTATCACGAGACGGCAGGTGCACCCAAGAGCTTTGAAGTTTCGTAGTGAGCAGATCAAAGCACGTCTAATGTTTTTGGAAAAGGCTTTACGATGCATCACATGCAACGGCAAGAGCAGCGGACTACGCCTGTCTCTCAGGCAACCCAATCGGCGACCAAATTCCTCACATAAACTATTGTGCAGAGGAGTACTAAGAAAGACGAAACAAAAAGCGTTGAAAGTTCGGCCGGAGCGTCCGTACCGACGTAGCTGATCAAGGACTGTAAGGGGAGAAGTTAAGAGATTGCAGTCAAATTTGGGCCGGAGGGTTAAAGAGCTGCAGTGCGGCATCTGGCTCTGGGTCCGAGAAGCTCCGCTGACCAGATAGTTGTCAGCAACTGTATCACATCATAGCCTCCTCCTTGTGGCAAGAAAATGCTACGAAACGGAAATAATCAAATTTATGGTCTTGCCATTGCCTCCCGTCAGTGGGCCGCCCAAAGAGCTTTGAATCTGGAATTACTTGGATGTCCCTTGCTTTAGCTCTCAGTGAAGTATCAGAGGCAATGGGATTTGCTCCGCTTCACCGCTTTGAAGAAGTAGAGCAAAATGGAATTTGATTCATCGACCTGCATGGGGGCCCATTTAAAAAGAAAGCTTGATGCGCGCGCGGGAGGGCTAACTGTTGATGGCATCAGAAAGAGCCACAGAAACATGTTTGAGAGGCCCCCGTCCCGGCATCAATTGCTCTGCTACTGAGGCTGCTTTGCGTCATAGCCGCTACGCAAGACGAGTGAGAACATACTGAAAGTTGGATGTTGACAGTGAAAGGCCGCCTGCCGCAATCAATAGGAAAGGTCAAAGATCAGGAATCGAAGGGAAGACACTCCGACGCATTTGCATGCTCCTCTTAGATGATCCCCCAACCGTCGGGGTAGGGGTATGCAAAAGGCATTTGGAAATTCCTCCGGACACCGACGAGGGAATACAAACGGTACTTTTCAGGAGCGTGAGAACGATCCCTCGAAGAGAGAGCTGTGAAGACGGCCACCCGTCGATCCAACCCAGAGCCGTAGAGGAAAGCCTTGCGTCTTCCTCCTGTTGTATGAAGACGCGTCGGATCACTGAAATTGTACAATCTGATTCAGTTACCGGAGCTCAATCAAGTCTCCCGAGCAAGCGCTGCCCGACAAGAGAGAAAGGACCTCAAATCGAGCAATAAAATGTTTCCACTTCCTAGATCGGTTCTGTTTGCTCAACTGCTTCAAAACGAAGGCACGGATCGCCACCGATCAAAAAGGCCAAAGAGACAAATGGCGCGAGAAAGGCACATATGCGGATGACAAGCTGCAATAATATAAGAATTAGCCCAAGAATGTTAATAAGGTTGGGAGCCTGCCTAAAGCAGCGTGCTTTGCGACCTGCAACACAACTTACAGACATACACCCGGGATTGCAAACTCGATAATTTGTACATGGTTGCCCATTTTGAGAAGAAAGCTAAAGATTCGAAGCCACCGGTCAGCAGCGGCTGAAAAGTTCATTGTATTCGAGACACCACTCCGGCGTCCTCATTGAAGAATATTCTTCAATCAATGTGGGCGGTTTGGTGAAGAAGCCAGCCCGCGAAGCATTTCAGGCATACCAGCGCAAAAGATTCTGCCATCTTTAGAGCATCATTGAAGGTGTGCACCAAGTCTGGCATTGGGCGTCAAACGGCCTTTGATAAATGTACGACCCGTCGCTGATCCTCATAGCAAATTTGGTGTCAGGTTTGAATCGGTTCCGGTTGTGGAGGCGTGGTGGGTCATGCCCTTCTAGGTCCCACGCTGATTCGAACGCGTCACAACCGATACGCACCCAACAAGAGCATATGAAGGACAGTCTGGCAGCGATCGTTACATCCTGAGAGAGGTTGAATAGGATTTGCCCAGGCGGAATGCATGACGGTAGGGTTGCTGAACCCAACTCGACTCCAACTTGAATGCCTTACAATGTGAAGAGTTGACAACCCTGTGCGGGCCACGCCGTACTAAGTTACTGAGAGCGGTTGAAGAAGCTCATACACTGAAACCAAAGAAGTTGCAGGAAAGATCCACAAAGAAGATACTCAAGTTGGCCAAAATGGATAACAACAGCTTGTTTTCTCGAAAAGCTGTTGCTAAGAGGTCCTACCTTAGCTTATGTTTGCGACTTTGAGGACACGACTAGCCAAGAATTCGACTCGTTCCAGAAAGTACACGGAATTATCGCGCGGTCTAAAGACTGCGGGATTGACGAGGAATGCTCACTAGGAGCTTCGGTAAGAGCACGCCGGTGCCAGAGCGTTTACACGGCGGCTTCCAACGACCTGGCTACAAGGACATGACCAATCGGTCGACCTGTCGTACCGTCATTGCCACACGTTTACAGGGCCAGGCCGAGTACATACTGCCGGGCATATCGACAGACAGTAGGACGAGTTGTTGCGAGATGAGCGGACAATCCGTTCAGCATATATTGCCACCAGCGACACCGTGAAAACATCTGGAAAGGCAATAAGCACGATAACCGAGCCGCGCACAACGCTCAACTTTGCTGGGGAGGTTCTTTGACACAAATAGCTTCTCATCGCCCCAACAGTACTGCTTCGGCTTGACGGAGCAACTCCTATCAACAGAAGCCTCAGGACGGACAGATAAACCAGACGCGGCCGAGATTCGAATCCACCGTCCCAAGATATCTCAAGGATTGAAAGTATATGGCTCTGCCACTAAGAATCGGCCTTAGTCGCGAGAAGAGGTGCTGCAGGAAGCACCAGCTTCCGTGCAGAAGCTAGGGCTTTTCGTAGAGTGCTTTGCAGAGAGGTTCGGAGCGTAGGTGCTGGACAGAGTACAGACAAAGCTACTTTTTCTCTCTAAAAACTCTTCCCTATGTTTGTCATTCCACCACGCGTCCCATGCATGCTCAAAACATTCTCTGCGTGAGCATAGGAGCCATGGGTGACTTCAATGCCATCGCTAAAGGTTTTGCGAATCAACTGAACAAGGCGTTCCCCAACTATACACCGCTCGTCAAGCTTCGGACGAGGATGAAACAGTGCATTCGTAAGGATCCAGACTGCTTGCAAGAAGCATGGACGCGATTCTTCCGGTCTAATTCGGACGCTCTCTCCGCTCTTCAGAACGGCGACGTAGAAGGGCTCATAGCTAATGATCACGTGTCGGCTCAGTTGGATGTCGTGAGGTTGTGGTATGGCATGTCTGATGCTTCCAAAGATGCGGCTCGCAAACATCTGGAAGCGCTGCGCGATGCGGCGGGGCTGTCGGCAGGAGTGGACCCAAAGCTCGCGGCAGCAGCCAGGGCCTGGTCCGGAGTGTTTTCTGAGGTCCTGGGTAAACGCGTCGTGGTCCCAGCCCTCTTCTTGAGCAAGATCGAGAAGATTGTGGAGTTGGCGCGCCAGATGATAAATAGCATGGACGAAGAGGACCTGAAGCAGGAGGACGTGGACGAGTTGTTGGACGGCGTGGACCTCGGCGGCATGATCAGAGCGGCGGGGGGCACCTCCGAGGATGCAGAGCCGGACTCCAACGATCTCATGCACAAGGTCACCGACATGCTGGCGAAATTGAAGATGTGGGCGGCCGGAGAAGAGGGCAAAGACATCGACTCCGAGATGGTTGCGACGTACGTCGCTGACAAATTGAAAGACGCAAAGTACAGAGACGTAGTGAGCACGTTGCGTTCCACCCTGTTGAACGTGAGGGCCAACTTTGTGCAGTCCGCTCTCCGTAAGTTGGCAGAACAGATCGACGTCTCGGACCCTCGGAGCTTGGTCGAATCGGGTCAGGATCTGGACCTGGGCATCTTCGAGGAAGAGATTCGAGGTATCCTGTCTGGGGTGGATTCAGCCAAGGCCCAGACGTTGATCGCTTCCTTCTCGAAACTGGTACAAGAATCTGGAGTGGCAGAGGCACTGGGAATGAGCGACGTGTCGGAGTCTTTGAAGACCATGGCCGGAGGGGGTGCATCAGGTGGCAGCAACAATCCTATGTCGAGACTCTTCAACTCGGAGCTGACGCCAGGGTTGATCAGTCAACTTCCGAGCGCAGTCGGCGCAGACGGGTCAATCGACGTCGGGAGGGCGGCCGCGCTCGCACTCAGGTCCAGGAGGGTGGCGAAGCGTCCGAGGATCACCGGAAAGCTATGAGATGCGTCCCGGTCGGCCCTTTTCTTTTGAGGGAGAGTATCAGCGAAAGGATCATGGGTATCCTGGACGACTTTTCCTCGCTGGCGCCCGACTCGGCCGTCCGCGTCAAGTGTAGCTGCGACCTCCGGGTCTCTGCGAAATGCTCGGAGAAGTTCAAGTCGCAATACAGACAGTTGCTGAATCGGGCGGCTCCTCTGGGCAAACCGCCCGGTTTCGCGATATGTCCCAATTGTTATGACAATTCCGTCAGCGCGGTGATGCAGCCAGCAGGTGTCAGGGAGAACATTCTGGACGTCATAGAGGACGAGGGTCCTGCATATCTCCTGGGATTGATAGCCAGCGGGTACGCAAAGATCTCTCGACACAACGAGATGGTCCTAGAGTCGGGCAAGAAAGACGCGGGTGCCATAGATGCCCTGAGGAATCTGGTCATGGAGCGACCAGGGCGCTTGAAAGTAAAGAGGCAGTCTGCGCGCTACTTCATTGCTAGATCGGAACGCCTGATCCAGAGAGCTTTCGAGATATTGGGCGTGAATCTAGACAACTACAGGACCGAGTCCTGCTTTCCGTCATCGAACGTCCTCGACCCTCTGCTCGACCGCCACTTCATCAGAGGTCTCTTCGACGGCGCTGGGACGGCCAGGTGGGAGAACTCCACGATGATCTGCGAGTTCGATCTGCCCTCTCCATATTTGGCTGCTGGGGTGATGGGTAACTTCCCGAACCACACCCCGAGGAGGGACGCGAAGGACCCCAAGACCATCGCATACGTCGGAGGCGAGGCGCTGGACGTGATGGGTTATATGTTCGAGGGTTCGACCTACTACTTCAAGAGTCACAGGGACAGGTTCAACGAGTTTGCCTGCGCCAATGTCCCGTACACCAGAGCGACGCCGAATCCCACGATCCGAGTCCGGAAGGCCGGGTATCCGACCCTCTCCTCGTTGAGTAAGGCGTGGTCCGACAAGGCGTGGTCCCTGAAGGTCGTGGATGTCACCGCCGAGAGGACCACCCAGACGGTCTTCGACACGGGACTAGAGGTCAGGCTCCCTCCAGGGTGGTCCTGCTTGCTGTGCCCGACGCCTCAGATGACCTCGCTGGGGGTCATATTCAACGGGCCGCAGGTGCCGCCGCGCGTTCCAGGGACCGACTACGTGGCGCTCAAGGCCACCGTGAACACCAAGTTCTGCGAGGAAGACCTCAACTTCTGCAGCGTGGCGCTGGAAGGCCTGCACATGGACCTCCTGCTCGTCCCCACGGCGCACTTTCCCATCCGCCTGGAGGGCCCCGACGAGCCGCCCATCACTCCTTCTTGACGATCTTGATCTTGCTCCCGCGCACCGAGCGACTGTTCTCCTCGTCATGGCGCTCCTTCTTAGCGTACGTCTGATCGTGATATTTCCAAAAGGACTTGTGCCCTATCCGGAACGGCTCGTGTAGAGACGCCTTGTACCAGAAGACAGTGTCCTGCAACTCGCCGGACTTTGCTAGATTGTTCAGTACCAGGACCTCGTAGTCACGGGTACATGCCTTGAAGACGTCCTTGAAGACTTGGAGATTTTCAAAATTGCCGAAATAGTGATCGTAGAGCTTCTTCTGGTTCAGCTGCACGTTGTCGGCGAAACAAAAGAAAAGATCGATGTTGTTTCGGATGTCAGGAGGGATATCGAGTGCATATTGAATTGTTAGCAAAATTGTCACATTATAATGACGTCCGTTCTTGGCCAAGGCTGATAGAGCTTTGCTGGACATTGCCTTCTTCGAGTACGCACAATCGTCCAATAGGACAAACACCTTGCCGTTTGGGAGGTTGTTATCGAGGATCCGCTTCTGCCTCTCCAAGAGCTTCCAGATGACATCCTCGTCGAAATCGCCGTAAATGAACGAGTCAGGTACGATGGACTTGTAATAGTGATTACTCTCTTCCGTGCCAGACATCACAATCCCACATGGGAAGATCTTTCGTTTCGAATGTAAAATATCGGTTACTAAAACCGTTTTACCTGAATTGCGCCTACCAGCTAAAACAATGAATGAGTTATCCGGAATCGTGCTTAACGAGAACTTTTTCAGGGTTATTTCTCCCATTTCTATGGAAGCAGTACTCTTATCTCAGTCTAGAGAAATACTCATTGGTAATATCCGCGGTTGTCTTTAGGTCGATATAGGGAAGATCATGGGTAAGGCTCTCCTACCATGTGAGAGCCGATATAGGAAAGACATCGGTCGACACTTGAAATTCACAACGGTGTGGAGTGATTCGTTGGCTTACTGCAAGAACAAAGCGTGCTGACGCTTGGAAGTAGAATATCACGATGGACATAGCAGAGGCATTCGAGACAGGCTACGATGTCTTCCAGGTCAACATACAAGGCACGCTAGAAGAGCCGCTCTTTTATGCCCATCAGATGAGTGATATCGTGAGACTGACCGATGTCGACGCAATTGTAGCAAACCTGCCCTCTAAATGCGTTGTGAGTAGACATGGACTCACAGAACGGGAAGAGTTGTTGACGGAGAATGGTGTGCAACTGCTCCTCATGAAGAGCCAACATCCAATCGCAGACGTGTTGAGAGAATGGGTGTTTGACACCCTCAAGGACATCAGGCTGAAAGCGATCGCGAAGATCCGACAGAATGAACAAGCACGTGAGAAGGAGTTGCGCACGCTGAGAGAGGACAATAACAACCTCAAAGAACAAACCTCGAGGCTGGAGAAAGAAACAGATCGAAAGACAAACTTCTTATACAACTTCAAATTGGAGAACGCTCAGTCAGACAGCAAGTGCCGGATCAAGTTGGGAAAGACCAAAGACACTGCTGGCAGACAAGGCCCATACCGACAAACAAACCCGTTTGGACGTCTGACATACTCTGTGGAAGTCCCCGCAGACTGCATCAACGACGCAGAAAGCGTTCTGCACAGACTGATGAAGAACACAGGGGGGTTAGTGAAGAGCGAGGTATATGATACGAGCGTCGAGTACGCGAAAACTTTGACAAGAGTTGTGGCAGATCTTTTTGCTCTCACGAACGGTGGCTCGGACTGTACTGATGCAAACGCCAAGATCTTTCAAAAGGTCGTTGGGTTGCTCAACCACGAGATCCGTGGAGATGTAGCTCAGACTAGTCACCAACAATCAGACTCCAGCAAAGTCACGAACCAAACGCTACAAGCCGAGCTTACCGAAATCAAGGACATTCTGACAAAGATGAAAGAAAAGGCAGTGACAACGCCTGTGCTGAAGGACACAGAACCTCCTGAAGCAAACGATACGACTTTACCGGACATTCAAGTCGTCTACGACTTCAATCGCTTCGTCGACGAGTGCTGCGAAGTTGGAACAGACTTTTACGACTTCCCGGCTGAGATCCACGTACGCTTCATACTCTGGGCGAGATTGACCAACCGAGGCCTGAAGGAGGCTCTCATTCGCTATTTGAAGACACGTTTCATGCCTTGCCGCATCCAGGATGGCGAAATGGTTCCTCACGGATACAAGGGCTTAAGAATCATCCCATACAAAAGAGCCAAGACCATGGTCCTCTGGGAGATCGAGAAATTTGTGCAAGTGACGTGCGTGGAGACGTGCTCCAGCAGACTCTATGACAGCGATTTGGAGGCCACGTATTTCAGATGGAAGAAAGAAAAGGACCCAGACTACGAGGAAGATCGTACGGAGCTAAAGGGTATTCACACCTTTCTGGATCAACACTACGTACACTGTGCTCTGTGGAAGGCTGACTCAAAGTACACCGAGAAAGGTTACTACGGGATCTGCTTGAAAGGGAATGAGGCGACATACAAGAGGCGTGTTCCTCCAAGTGCTGCGCGTCCTGTTGAGGAATTAGAGGAAAAGAGTGGACTCGTGAAACGGAAATGGGACAAGGTGTCAGATGCGGCGGCGTCCCTCGGATGGAGCACAGCCAAAGTAGGATACACAATAAAGAAGAAGACGATTATAAATGGATTAGCATACAAGTATGCTTGCGATTAGAATACTCTGTTTGGAAAGAATGTAACCATTAAACCAGTGTGACCATGATGAGAAGACCGGCGCTTCTTGCTCAATTATGGTCATCTGCGTCCCTGTGATCCTACTCCTTTGCGTTGAACTTCTCCATTGTGACAATTACGGCCTTTTACCTCGTTGGTCTTTAGCATCGCAGCTTTGTATATTTTTGTCCGGATTCCTATCCCCTTCAGATCCTCTGCAGCTCTTCTGCTCATATCTCATTTGCGCGACAATCTTTGCAAGGTGCTTCAATCGCTCTGCCTGACTTCCCGCATATGCCACATCGCTCTCGCTCGCTCCTATTGCGACTGTGGCTAGCAGGTCTAGAGAAGACGTGTCCATGGTGCTCGTCTGACTCGCTCTACATCGCAGCACATACATTCTTCGTGATCACGACGTTTTCGCAATAAAACTAGTATATACCTGAGAGCATGTCGACCAAGGTCATCTTGATCCTCCTCCTGCTCGTCGTGGTCGTGGTAGCGCTGTGCCCTTCGCCCGGTCTCGTGGAAGCATTCGACGACCCGAAGGCCGCCACGGCTCTGGCGGCGTTGGATGCCACCACCAGATACAAAGTGATGGCGATAGGAGACGCACTTTACAACAATCTGGTTCTCTATAGAGACAAACACATCGATGACTGCACTGCGTATGACCAATTGATAAACATTGTCAAGACATCCAGTCAGCAGAACGGACTGACGCCAGCGCAATCCGAAGCCGTTTTTTCCTACGTCATTCAGAAAGATCCAGGCTTTTTCTCTGGCTTCACTCTCGCGAGATGCATGTCGAGGGCGCCTTCTGTGACTTATGTGACAGCGGGCAGCCCTCAGCCCGCTAGCTCTCAACCCACGCAAGTCCCTCAGACTGCTCCGCAGTACAGCGGTCAAACAACGCAAGTCCCTGTACAATATAACGTCGGACGGATGAGCATAGGGGGGCAAAATCAGTGCCTGACAGTACTCGGCGGAAACCATGCGTCTGGCACTCCGATCGTCCAATGGCCTTGTTCCCAATCGGACCCCAATCAGGCTCTCGCGGTCGACACGATGCAGATAGGAGCCTTACAGTTCAGGTCCAATATCAATAAGAATCTCTGTATAGGTCCAAGCGGGAACGGAAACGGCTCGAGGCTCGCATTGCAGCCGTGCTCTGATCAGAACAGCCTGCAGAGGTGGCAATCGAGTAAACAAGGGGGGCTGATGAACTTTGCAGCAGGTAGGTGCATGGACCTCCCGAACGGCACTCGGGTGAACAACGGTCCGGTACAACTCTGGGACTGCAACGGTTATGGCCCAGCACAGGCCGTGAAACAAGTTTGAGAGCAGGTTGTCTTTGTTTTGTCCAGGACTTGTGTGCTACTTTTAATTCTGAGAAGAGTCTATAGCCGTTTTCGAATGGCCGCCGCGAACCCAGGGAGATATGAAAGAACGAACCTGGCACAACTCGCAAACGATTCGGCCAGGGACGTCGTGAGCCTGGAACAAGAAGTGGCCGCATATCCTTCTCCCGAGCACGCGCCCTATGAGCTGCGGGTCGAACTGCAGAGAGCGAGGGAGAGGCTAGCCCACGCCGTACAGAGACGTCAGACCGAAAATTTCCACTCCAGGAATCTCCCACAGAGGCAGCTGCGCGTTTCTCGAGACAGAGAGGAGGATCGACCATTCGAATACATTGCTCCGACGCTGACCAGAGAGATCGAGCAGCTGATGAGCTCAACCAGGAACAGACACGGATTCGCACCCCTCGGCGAACATGCACTGATCCCACTCGCGTTAGCTGACAAAGTCCGCATACGGTTCAGAAGACCTGGACCAGGGGACAGCTGGTTTCCAACGCGCCCACGCAACATTGACACGTCGAATTGGAAACTGGGCTACCGCCCTGACCCCAACATGGACAGCCGTACCGGAGAGCTCAGAACCATCCGAGTCGCACCACAATCCGACTTTGAATTGCGCCGGTACCCGATAGACTCTGACCAATACGATCCGGTGCTCTACCCTGTGCCTGAATCGCTGATTCCACCCCGGTACTCAGCGGCAGGCCCAAACGGAAGGCGCACTCGCATGGGCCGGAACGAATTCTTAGCGTGGCTCAAGCGACACAAACCAGAAGGGAGACTGGGGTTGTTAACTTTCCTCTAGCGATTGGCGTAAGCGTGCAAAGGTTATGAGGTCGGGTTTTCGACAGACTAAAGTGTTTCGGGATTTTAGGGTTTTAAGAATTAGGGTTCAAGGTTACAGTGTCCTTGGGGTTTTACAGTACAAGGCACTCGCATGGCATGGCAACGTGCATGCACATGGCACTCGCCCCAGATGGAATTAGGGGGCAACAATGGTGGTAAAAGAAAGAAAGTTTCTGGTCAAAGGGTTGATGCACTCGGGGTGCCGGGTTCTCGGAAGAAGAGAAAGGTCGTCAACACTGGTGAGCCGGCTTTTACCGAAGAAGAAGAAAAAGGCTTAGGAAAGCGATTGCGCAGAACCAGTGAGGAATCTTGTCAGCGTAGCGCATTGGCGCAGGACTTTGCTTTTGCATCCGAGCATGGCACCTAAGCATGGCATTGGCACATGGCACCAGCATGGCACTAGCATGGCAGGAGCATGGCACTAGCATGGCAGGAGCATGGCACATGGCACTAGCATGGCAGGAGCATGGCACTAGCATGGCAGGAGCATGGCACATGACACTAGCATGGCACTGGCATGGCACTGACATGGCACATGGCACATGGCAGGAGCATGGCACAAGCATGGCAGGAGCATGGCAGGAGCATTGCAGGAGCATGGCAGGAGCATGGCACATGGCACAAGCATGGCAGAAGCATGGCACTAGCATGGCGCATAACACTAGCATGGCGCATGGCAGGAGCATGGCGCATGGCAGGAGCATGGCACATGGCACATGACAGGAGCATGGCACATGGCACATGGCACATGGCAGGAGCATGGCACTAGCATGGCAGGAGCATGGCACTGACATGGCACATGGCAGGAGCATGGCAGGAGCATGGCACATGGCACTAGCATGGCAGAAGCATGGCACTAGCATGGCGCTCAGTCAGGACGAGCAGGAGGGTCCTCGTCCCGGTGCAAGGGGCTCCTCAACAGCGTATGAATCAGCCGCAGCTAGCTTCCTTCATTCCTATATGATAGCCTCGAGTCAGAGACCCGAACCTGACTCTGCCTGCTGGTAAAAGGCTCAGGCAGATGAGTAGCTAGAATGTCCCGCACCACTCGCAAATCCCAGTACCATGCAAATTAGGGTTCTGGAGCTCATTGGCCCACACATAGCACACCTGCTCGGTTGGTCTAGCCGACCCTTGCCCCACATGCCCAGTTGATACTGGCCCCAAGCCTCGCCCACTTTAGCCGGATGGTATGAGTGGAACATGCATATGCCGAGTTGTCATGTTTCAAGTCGATCTAGCAGATGAAGCCTAATTAGGGTTAGTGTCTTCCTTTCTTTACTCCTGCTGCCTCTTCATACTTGGAAAGGCTGCTGAAGGACGTTCCCGGTGAAGACCCGGAGGCATGCTGCTGGAGTACAAGGTTTTCTCGACATGCTCAGGGCGAGTCTGAGAGAAAGGCAGCGAAAAAAGCACCCCTCCCTCTCCTCCTAGGACCTGGACTTGGGACTTGGGACTTGGGACTTGGGACTTGGGACTTGGGACTTGGGACTTGGGACTTGGGACTTGGGACTTGGGACTTGCCGCGAACTAGGGAGTTGGGAGTTGGGACTTGGGTCTTGGGACTTGGGACTTGCCGCGAACTCGGGACTTGGAACTTGGGACTTGGGACTTGGGACTTGCGGCCGCGATTTGGGACTTGGGACTTGAAACTTGCGACTTGGGACTTGGGACTTGCCGCGAACTCGGGACTTGGGACACACAGATAGCCACAGCTTACAAACCGCGTGAGTCGATGGTGACGCGGCATTACGATTGGGACGCGGCGAGTGAAGCAAAAGTACTGGGCGTCAGTGTTAGGACACCTTCTTACTGACGTGGCAACAAACATGTAGCAACGGTCATAACTCAAGTTTGGGTTCAGCATGCGTGGCACGTGGCAGAAGTTTTTGGGCCGAAGGCACAGACTGGCACAGGTGACCTGACTGACCATGTC